ATAAAGTTTGTAATTACTAAATACAACTTTTAATTGTGTATTTTACACCATAGGTACACTCAACCTCTTATCAGAGGCAAGGCAAGCTTGGAATGTATGTCTCATAAATGGGTTTCTTAATATTCATGAAAATCTTTGAGAGTCACAGATCTTTATATGGTAAAATTAAGATGCACACTCTTCTCCCTTTTACTGCCATTTTCTGTTAGATATAAATGGCTGCACTCGCATGCTCTTTTGAATCCCCATGCTTCTGTGAAAGTGCTTCCACCTGTTGTCCACCACCACCACTCTTTCAGAGGACAGTGTTTGGTAGCAGAGCTGGTCGAACAGGCAGTTCATCCTGTCCTCCATAGGCAAAGTCCACAGCCTGATACACTGAAAGGATCCACCATCACTTTCCATTTACTTTTGTGCACTGGAGTGCAGCTGAGCGCTCTGACTGTTGTGGCTAAATATTCTTTTCAGAGTCACTGCCTCTCCCGATCCTGTAGCAAAAGTGGTAAGTATCTCAAATAAGAGCCTGGGGCACAGCTGATGCTCCTTCTTCCTCCTCTCTCATCCCACTTTGGTTGTCTGATGTGTAGGTCTGGATGACTCCTTTCTTCAAATAGGTTTATTCCTTAAATGTAAGGTCTCCCTCTTTTTGGCACAGATAATATCTTTGTCTCCATCTTTCACACTTTCATTTATAAAGAGAAAATTTTCCTTTTGTAGGGGACCAGTTGTTGAGAGAAAGGCAGAGCTAATGCACCTAACCAATCCCAGATGGCATCTCGTGTCAGTTTTTCAGTATCTGTCACCATTTAGCTCAAAACTGATGGATAATTTGAAGTGGAGTTTATTCTGTGAAATGAAGGTTAAATTTTGAAATAGAGACAGGAATACAAAAGTTACATCCACAGTTTTATACAGGTATGTCCTATTCTCTCAAAAAACACTAGCAAAAAAAAGTGCCACCTAACCAACCAGGCAACAAGCCCCAGCATCCCTCTAACATGCTGAAACTCCAAGGAGCTGCCGTGAAGAAGAAAATAAAACCCTAAGTGCTGTGGTTTCAGCTCTCAGCTGTTTTGGTGTAGACTTCAAGTAGTGCTGTTATTCCAACAGGCTTAATTTAGTCTCGTTATTGCTGTAGATGAGAACGTAACTTGGCCAAGTCAAAATCCCAAGTGTGCATCTGCATCGTAGTGCTACAAAAAGGTATATCCTATTACCTTAATAACCAGAAAGTATGTCCTTTCTGAGACTTAATCCAATTTTTAACCAACCTAAAGTTTTCAGATAAGCTAAAACTGCCATGGACAAATACAGCAAATTTACCATCTTGCTGCAACTATGTTCTACTGTATAATCACCTTTTGTCCTGATAGGGCACCATGAGGGCCAGCTGCTCCCCGGGGGCTGGGAGCGGCGGGGGCCCCTGGGGTGGCAGGGCAGGGCCTGGCAGCCCGTCCTGTCCCACCGCCCCAGCCGGGAGCAGGGCAGCCCCAGCCTGGGACATTGGGCACCTCCCTGGGGACAGGGACGAGCTGAGGCTGGGCCAGGATGTGGGCCCATGGGCAGGCCCAGCTTGACAGGACCCATGGCTGGGCAGGGCCGGGTTGTGAGAAGCTGGAGACCGGCCCTGCTGTGGCATCGCTGGGGCAGGGACTGACGGCCCGGGGGGGCTGAAATGGGGTCCTTGGACCTGGGCAGGGTGTGGGGAGCCCCGTGGGGGCTGAAATGGGGTCCTGGGACCTGGGCAGGGTTGGGGGGGAGCCATGGGTGTTTAGGCAGGAACAGTCAGGGCTGGCAGTGTTCTTAGTGTCATGACAATATTTGTGAAGATGTGAAGATGAAATTCATTAACACTTTATTTATTTATTTACACTTACCACATGGGAGAGCAATTTTATTTTTCTCTGTTTGAAAAGAAACATTTTTAAATGAAATGAATGGATTTAAGATGGATGTTTTGGCATGCTATAGCTGTCGCTAGGATTATGCATATATATGACTGGAAAAGAGGTTTTCTATTTTTTTTTTATTGAGCAAGGAAGGAGTAGCTAACAGTTTACAGTTTCTTACAGGCAGCATAAAGAAAAATTCATTCAGTATGAAAACTATGTGCAAACATACATTGTTATGTGGTCTGGTTGGGTCCTAGTACCTGGAATAAAATGGATCCATCTGTCGAGTCCTTCCAGCTCACGCTCTCTCCCTGCGCACCCACTTAGGTAATGTGGGAAGGGGGGAATGTAGCCAAGAGGAAAAGGACGGCCTCGGTGGGACACGTGAGTGGTCTTTACGTCCTGTGCCTTGGTGTGGCCCTCTGTCATCCCTCTTGCAGATGCCTTCTTCCACCCCCTTACTTTGCACATTCTCTATATGAATTTGGGTGTGTGGAAAGGCGGTGATTGTTGGTCTGTTGCACAACTCGGTATTAAGCTCTGGATCTGCTAGAAATTTTTTACGCTGAGGGTGATGAAACACTGGCACAGGTTGCCCAGAGAGGGGGTGGATGCCCCATCCCTGGAAACATTCAAGGTCAGGTTGGACGGGGCTCTGAGCAACCTGATCTAGTTGAAGATGTCCCTGCCCACGGCAGGGGGATTGGACTAGATGACCTTTAGAGGTCCTTTCCAACCCAAACTATTCTATGATTCTATGATTCTATCACTAGGCATCCTGTGTCTTCTGTGTGTGGGGAGAGCCAAACAAGAGCCACCAAGCCCATGGTTTGTGGCTACGTTCTCACCCCAAGTTTACTGTTAAAACCCAGCTGAATTAATGGATTTTCATGAGTAAAAAGGTGAACTGAACCTGAACCAAATCCTGCTGTGCTTCATTTTCTTTACTGATTCCCTTTTATCTACAACAGAAAAAAGTGAATAGATCTTTGTTAATCTTAAATGAGCTATTTGACTGATAGTTGCAGAGCTGGTGCCCTTTCACTTTTGGTTAGGTGATTGCGAGTTAACATTAGGACACTGAAAGCAACAGTAAATTATCTATCTGCATTATCTGTTTCGGATATGCATCAAAATGTGTTGCTCATTCTAACGTTATGTAGTGCAACTATTTCCTGAGATACTTCTGCACCTGCTTTTCATGACTTGGCATTTGGATTTTGAAGCTAAATGTTACGTGCGGGTAGGAGTTTCTATTTATTGATTTGGAATTTATTTAGTGAAGGAATAGTGGACAGAAGGAGAAGGATATTCTTCTATAGCATATTAACTGAGATTAGAGCTCTTCACTCACTGAACCCCATAGCAGAAACTGTGAAAATGTTTTAAATAATACATTAATTTCCATGTTAAACTGTATATATTGACCTTTTCTCTTAAGTTTTTTTTTTCTATAATTGGTTTTATTATCAAGAGAATCCTTCAGAAAACTCTGTGATGTTTCTTACTGGCTTTTGCAAAATGCTTTTAATATACAAGAGCTATATGTATTTTTTTCAATTCCTATACCATACCTACCTTTAGGAGGCAGTTTCAGAGTCTCTGAATGGTCTTGCAGTGCATAATTTCAGCCTGGATTGCCAGGGTAAGATACAATAAGTAGGTGCCTGTTGAATGTGACTGACATCGATTGTTCTTTTAACCCGATGATCAGGAAGAGGCAGTTAGACCTTGTACTACTTATTGCTGTAGAGCAGAAGTGTGGATCTCTAACACGCTGACATGTTTAAAATTTCAGCAGTTCAAATCTTCTCTCTGGAATTCTAATTCTGCTTCAGCAGACTAGTCCTGACATGGTTTCGTGAAACGTGAAAGGAGAGGTGGTAGAGAAAAAAGGAAGGAGTATTAGTGCTCTAATTTAGTGGCCCTCTGAATTTTAATCTCAAAGTAGCACATGTTTTTAAGATGCTTTGTTCCATATTTTAGAACAGTATCTCTGAGGGTTTCTACCTGGGGGATTACAGAGCACAGAGTATAGGGGGGTAAAGCTTCACTTTATTCCTGACTTAACAAGCATGAGAGCAATTTCTCAAACCTGTTGCATTGTTTAAACCACAGTCAGCTTACTGCATCATTTTTCAGTGTAATAGGTGAAGGACAGTTAGCTGCTATGCATTACCAGGTTTATTATGCATCCTTTTCAAAGAAAGGTTGTAGAAAATAAAGAATTTTGCAAAATGCCTGAATTCAAATAGAGCTAATATAAGCTGATTGCACATTTATTTAAGCAATGATGTCATATTAAAAAAAAATATATATATGAGCAATAGGTTTCATCCTGGCCACAGCTCATCTGTCAAATGAGCTGCATATTGAGAAACATGTTCTTTTAATGACTTTACACAGCAGACTCTGCAATGTATCACATCTTGCAGTTTTTCTTCCTTTACTGAAACAGAACTTTTCAGCATTTTACAGGGCAGTTTTCAAACTTCTTCCCACTTACATTTGGTCAAACTTAGGTTGCATCAATCTGTAAGTGTATAAAATAAATATGCTTTTTTTTTTCTTTCTTTAGGATGTGGGAAACATACTCAGCTATATCATTTCAGTGTCATTTTTGGTTTCTGGTTTTGAACTACCTTCTGATTTTGGGAGATGATTCTTGTATCTGGATGATTAAATGGAAGAAGAAAAAAATAAAAAATGTGTAGGCAGGTCTTTGAGTATATTAGATTAAATGACCTACAATTATCCAAAAGTTGATAATTGTGATACCTCATCTTCAGAATTTAGAAATGAGAAGACTACAGGACTTGAAGCTAGAGCATTACAGCAAATTCTTGCAGTCCAAGCTTTTGAATATTTGTGTATTGTAAGATATTTCTCATGATGTAATCTAAGAATGGGTGCTCTTAAACCTTATCAAATACGCTGCATTCAGCTTTTTTACATATCTTTCAGTCATAAATAGTAATGATTTGAATTTAAGAGGAACTCCAGCAGAAACTGAAACCAAGACCTAATATAACTTGTAAAAAAATGAGTGAGAAATTAAAAATTAAAAAGAAGAATAAGGATAATATGGCAGGTTGTGGAGGTGGTAAGATGGCACAAGCAAAAAGATTAGAAGTGAAAAGGGTAAGTGAGTGCAGATTTTATGTATTTATTATTATTTGTCAGCTTCTTGGTATTCTTAGCTCTATGCAAATCAGTGCAATTCATGACTGCTTCCCCAAGGAACTTAAGATCAAACTTAATATAGAAAACATAGTTCAGTCACACGTAATATGCAGATTAGAGTTTCAGCTTCATCATGGTCCAAATATCTTGGATGAAAAAATAGTCAATTAAAGTAGTATGTGTGATTTTTTGTTAATCTTATTGTTTATTTTTTTAAATGGTCTCTGCTGAGAATGCAAGTCAAGGAAAGGAGATCATAAAATATATACCACACGATTAACTTCATGGAAGCCCAAAGGAATTATAGTTTTGAAGCATGTGGTGAGAAGGATATTCTTCTATAGCATATTAACTGAGATTAGAGCTCTTCACTCACTGAACCCCACAGCAGAAACTGTGAAAATGTTTTAAATAATACATTAATTTCCATGTTAAACTGTATATATTGACCTTTTCTCTTAAGTTTTTTTTTTCTATAATTGGTTTTATTATCAAGAGAATCCTTCAGAAAACTCTGTGATGTTTCTTACTGGCTTTTGCAAAATGCTTTTAATATACAAGAGCTATATGTATTTTTTTCAATTCCTATACCATACCTACCTTTAGGAGGCAGTTTCAGAGTCTCTGAATGGTCTTGCAGTGCATAATTTCAGCCTGGATTGCCAGGGTAAGATACAATAAGTAGGTGCCTGTTGAATGTGACTGACATCGATTGTTCTTTTAACCCGATGATCAGGAAGAGGCAGTTAGACCTTGTACTACTTATTGCTGTAGAGCAGAAGTGTGGATCTCTAACACGCTGACATGTTTAAAATTTCAGCAGTTCAAATCTTCTCTCTGGAATTCTAATTCTGCTTCAGCAGACTAGTCCTGACATGGTTTCGTGAAACGTGAAAGGAGAGGTGGTAGAGAAAAAAGGAAGGAGTATTAGTGCTCTAATTTAGTGGCCCTCTGAATTTTAATCTCAAAGTAGCACATGTTTTTAAGATGCTTTGTTCCATATTTTAGAACAGTATCTCTGAGGGTTTCTACCTGGGGGATTACAGAGCACAGAGTATAGGGGGGTAAAGCTTCACTTTATTCCTGACTTAACAAGCATGAGAGCAATTTCTCAAACCTGTTGCATTGTTTAAACCACAGTCAGCTTACTGCATCATTTTTCAGTGTAATAGGTGAAGGACAGTTAGCTGCTATGCATTACCAGGTTTATTATGCATCCTTTTCAAAGAAAGGTTGTAGAAAATAAAGAATTTTGCAAAATGCCTGAATTCAAATAGAGCTAATATAAGCTGATTGCACATTTATTTAAGCAATGATGTCATATTAAAAAAAAATATATATATGAGCAATAGGTTTCATCCTGGCCACAGCTCATCTGTCAAATGAGCTGCATATTGAGAAACATGTTCTTTTAATGACTTTACACAGCAGACTCTGCAATGTATCACATCTTGCAGTTTTTCTTCCTTTTCTGAAACAGAACTTTTCAGCATTTTACAGGGCAGTTTTCAAACTTCTTCCCACTTACATTTGGTCAAACTTAGGTTGCATCAATCTGTAAGTGTATAAAATAAATATGCTTTTTTTTTTCTTTCTTTAGGATGTGGGAAACATACTCAGCTATATCATTTCAGTGTCATTTTTGGTTTCTGGTTTTGAACTACCTTCTGATTTTGGGAGATGATTCTTGTATCTGGATGATTAAATGGAAGAAGAAAAAAATAAAAAATGTGTAGGCAGGTCTTTGAGTATATTAGATTAAATGACCTACAATTATCCAAAAGTTGATAATTGTGATACCTCATCTTCAGAATTTAGAAATGAGAAGACTACAGGACTTGAAGCTAGAGCATTACAGCAAATTCTTGCAGTCCAAGCTTTTGAATATTTGTGTATTGTAAGATATTTCTCATGATGTAATCTAAGAATGGGTGCTCTTAAACCTTATCAAATACGCTGCATTCAGCTTTTTTACATATCTTTCAGTCATAAATAGTAATGATTTGAATTTAAGAGGAACTCCAGCAGAAACTGAAACCAAGACCTAATATAACTTGTAAAAAAATGAGTGACACATAAAAAATTAAAAAGAAGAATAAGGATAATATGGCAGGTTGTGGAGGTGGTAAGATGGCACAAGCAAAAAGATTAGAAGTGAAAAGGGTAAGTGAGTGCAGATTTTATGTATTTATTATTATTTGTCAGCTTCTTGGTATTCTTAGCTCTATGCAAATCAGTGCAATTCATGACTGCTTCCCCAAGGAACTTAAGATCAAACTTAATATAGAAAACATAGTTCAGTCACACGTAATATGCAGATTAGAGTTTCAGCTTCATCATGGTCCAAATATCTTGGATGAAAAAATAGTCAATTAAAGTAGTATGTGTGATTTTTTGTTGATCTTATTGTTTATTTTTTTAAATGGTCTCTGCTGAGAATGCAAGTCAAGGAAAGGAGATCATAAAATATATACCACACGATTAACTTCATGGAAGCCCAAAGGAATTATAGTTTTGAAGCATGTGGTCTTTTACAAAAGCCTGAAAATTACTGCAATCACTATAAGTGATCTCACCCACAACAGTAGAGGCTAGTAAAGTACCTCATGACCTGGAATTCATCCCTTTTTTTGTTGTTGTTCTATATCCCTTAAAACAAAGGATTAAAGAAAACAAAAAAAGCAACAAAAAAAGAAAAGCGTAAAATGTAGTTTCTAGATAACCACTTTTAAAGCTGTTGAATGTTAGATTTTGAAATAGAATTTCTCTTGTATCAGTGTTGTTCAGGACCAACTGAGTGACAGCTAAAGCGGTAACACTAGTTTATATTCCTTATAAAGTACTTTGTGCCATATTTATGGGCTATGTATTGTACTATGCAGCTGGGTAAATATGGAAGTTGCCTCCATGAGAATTTCCAGCAATTGCTATAATAGAGTATGTCAGGGTTTTTACTTGATATTGCTCATGTGGACTATTTCAGATTCCTTAAGTTCCAAGGATTTGTTGTCATTCTACAAAGATGTCATCTGATATCTTTATATCATACACTGGTAACATTTATTTTTTTATAATATGATCAAAATTGTAATTCCAATATTACTGTCAAGTTAAGAAGTCTTAGTGAATCTATTACTTCTGGAAATTAGCTAATCACAAAATAATTTTAGCATCATAATTTTTTTACACATAGGGAGAAGAAAATTCAGCTTCAGTCTTAGCAGATGTGAAGGCTTCGTTCAGCAAGATATTTAAATGTGTTTCTAACTTTAAACATGAATATTTCTAAGTACTCATTTCACAATGTAGCTTGGCAAAGAAAGAAGGGAAGAAAGAAAGAGAGAAGGAAAGAAAGAAAGGAAGAAACCCCTTTGCTAAATCATTGACTTAAAAATCATTAACAGAATGTAATAAAATGTTGTCCCTTTATCTACTTCTTTTGGTAACGTTGTGAAGCCATCAGATATTAAGTTATGGTTAGATGAAGATGTATTAATTTGTATTACTTCAAATTTTTAAGTATTGATTTTGAGACCTTATTTTGATCTCATCACAGCTTTACCTAGTGTGATTCTATCAATTATATAGAATTATCCCTGACTCTGAAAGCATAGATCACTCTTTTGAAAGCCATCATGGTTTATTAGGCAGTTTTGGAATATGAACCCATACGCTAAACAGCTGAAGGGACAGAGTTATGAATCCTGTGTTGTCAATTACAGTGGAAGGGAGATTTCAAAGTGGAAGATCACATCTCTGGAAAGACATATGAGGAAAATCCATATGTCCCGGTCACTCCTGCTTGTTTTACAATAGGCATTGCAGAAACTGTTACCCAGATGTCCCCTAATGGCAGAGTTACATAGTTAAAGAGTTATAGGTCTCCAACGATGCATATCAGAAAATGGGAACAAAAGCTACAGGCATGGCCTGGTAAGTCTTCCAAGTCTGAGATGTTTTTAATTCCAGAGTACAGAAGTAGGAATGGGCCTACACCACAGAGTTTTTATGAAAATATCTAAATGAACAGATAGATTATACTCTTACTAGTTATTTCAGTCTCGAAGTTTCTGAACAAGAGACTTGAAATTTGTGGGGCAAATGGAACAGTTGGTTGCAAGTTTTGATGTCAAAGAAAAGAGTTTTGCCATATAAACCTTTTGAAAGTCTAAGTGGTCTGTGAAAAACTACCCCATGTTCTTATTCTCTGCAACCTGAATCCTAAGCCTCCATTAAAAGCACCACAGACTTTTTTACATGGAAAGAGATCTCGGAATAGAGGTTGTTTCTTTTACCTCTGTGTTTTTGCCCAACCATGACCTACCTGGACTACTGGTGTGTGGAAATGGTGTTGGGTGAACACATCTGGGGGACATCACAGCTGCTTCCCCAGGAAATGTAGAAACTTGATCAGAAGCCATAGCAGAAAAGGCTTCTAGATGGAGTGGTGGGAGACATACACAGGCAGTGACGGCAATCTGATAAGCTTGATAGCGTAACACATTTTTGCATTGGCTATTGCAAGGTTGGTACCTTGAGGGTTTACAGGCAACTAGTCCAGGGACAGAGGAATTCCTAAGGCGACTGAGTGTTGTCAAATATACTGAAAAAGACTGAAAAATCCCATGATGCTGGATCTCTGTTTGGGAAAAGACTTCTTTTTAGCCTGTTATTTAGACTTTGTAATGATGGGATAGGCATCTGAGTTCTTTGACTGAACATGGCACTGTGCTGTGTACACTGATGCTATTATTTTTATTATTAGAGTAATATTTTTTACATTATTGTTTGTGCCCATATAGAAAGATCCCACAAAAACAGGCCATAGACATTGTCTTCATCCCTTTTGAAGACAAGCAGTACAGTCTAGCTAAGTGTAATTTGGGAACCTAAGAGAGCACATACACTCCAGTGTTCTGCTGGGGAAAGTCTGAAGATACAAGCTTTGTCTTCCTGCC